AGCACTGGCAGAGCCATCTGTGTGCAGAGACATTTCACAAAAAAATATAGAAAATGAGCAGAGCATTTTCCCCATTTTTTATTCATTTTCCCCAACAGTATTGGATTAAACCCTATTTTGCACATTTATACAATATTAAACCCTATTTTGAAAATCTGTTATAATAAGATAATAAGGTAAATATGGCAATTAATCTTGCTTATATCATTATAGTTATATTGCACATTAAGAATATCTCCATGTGATGTGGCATCCCTACACTTATTGTCATTGCATCAGTTGTAAAGGCAGGCGCCATTATTTGTATTTTTTAACCCATTCGTGCCGGGTAAAAATGAACAAAAAATGGGGGAAATGCTGTGTTCATTTTTTATGTTTTTTAATGAAATTTCTCTACACTAGATGGCTCTGCTTTACCGGATTTCATTTGGCGGGAAAATGCATTTTTACTAGTGCTATGAATATTGATGGTTATTTTTATTATAAACATTATAATTGCTCTAATGTTATAAACATTAGTAACAGCAAAATAAGATAACGCAAAATAATTTCGTAAATTAAAGAAAAGGGTAAACAGACGAGACAGGCAGTACAAGTGCAAGTGGAGCCATCTATGTTTGTAAACAACCAAACAAGTAAACTTAAAGTGGGCCCGTCACATATACGTGACGCCCGGCGCGAATGAGTTAAATAGAACGTATGAGACAATTTAATTTACGTTTGATAATTTGTCAATAGAGGCCTTGAAGCTTTTCTAATTATTTCCTGAGCAGAATGATCTTCAACAGAAGAGAATATGCATAAGAACATATCAAAGACATATCCTTAGGTGTTCATACAAAATTGAAGACAGTCCTTTGTGGGCGTGAATAGAAAATATCAGTAAAATGTAAATTAACCTTTAACAATAAATCAAAAAGTTGTTCTAAGATTTTGGAGTCACATTTGATGCAAAATTGCCTTCAAATTTGTGTAAAATTCCATTGTAGTTATAAAGATAGCCCTTGAGCATGTGGGGCACTTCCATACTGGTCCTAAAACCTCTGCCAAGCCTTAGACAAAAATTGTCTTCCAAGACATTTTCATTGTGAGTCACAGATAAATTTGCCAATTCCAAGACATATGAAGATAAGCACACATCAGTAATGAGAAACAGACTTGGGTAGCCCATTTTAATTTATTGCCAACCATTAATTGATTCATTTTCTACATATTTGCACCAATTTTCTATTCAAAAATACAAATGGCACTGCGTAGTTTCACAGTTGATACACTGAGAATAAACCTATGGTTGAACAAATTTTAGTTGAATATATAAAATGTGAAATACTATTGTCATTATAGAAGTAAGATTTATTACAATATGTAGTTTTAATATATTACTGCAATCAATTACCAGCATCAATTTTGAGATTTGGCAATGGGACAAATCATAGACTTTTTTATCCAAGGCTAATTTCAAAGTGTGAGACCTATCATGAATAACACCCCAGGTTCACATCATTCCAGGGTTAACTGCATGAATAATGTCATTATATGTATTACCTTTAATCCTACCACATCCTAACTATAACTATCATAAGTATATATTTCAACAACTCCTATGATACCTATGAAAGAAGTAATGCATTTCACATTCCAAAGATCAAGCTAAGCTGCTCCAAATGTGCAGTAAATACAAAAGATAAGACCACCAACCTTAAAAAGCTTGTACAAGTCCAAATCCTTGTTCCCTACAGTTGGTCCACTATTGATTGGGGTTCCACACTCCTCCATGAATTTATACAGTTGTGCAACAAAATGATCCTTCTCCTCTCTTGGCTCGTCATCAGAGCTCTGCAAAGCCAGACAATTTGGGAATCTCAGAACTGGGACAATACACACACAATGAATGATTAAAAATGAGGCATTGAAAAAAGTAGAAAAAAGGAGAAAAACATATTTAAATATGCATACACATACTTAAGTATAACAACTGCCAGAGAATTAACCAACATCTGACAATACTCACGACACTTACATCAGAGTCCGACCCGTCCCTATCTGAATCATCGTCAGAAACGTTTGTGCCAAAGAGAAGGTCGCGGTCCCAATGGGGTGGCAGCTCATTGTTTGTCATGAAGAGCAGGGCCTTTTCTACAGCCGTCTTGAGAGCACTCTGAGAAACCTTGCTCCCAACCTCACGGCTAAATGGCGAAGCTTCTTTCTTTGGTACCGTGTAACTGGGGATGATAATGAATTATGCACACCACTTCAATCACTGTCCAATGCCCAGGGATAAAACAATAAAGAATAAATAATGATAAATACAACAACAATAATAATAATAATAATAATAACAAATAATAGTTAATAATAATAATAATTATAATAATGAAAATGATAATAAATGTGATGTTAACGTAATGCCAGTGGGGAAAATTAATAAAAAATGGGGGAAATTAGTAATAACATCATTAATACTACTTCTAATAAACATCATAGATATAATGACAATAAAAAGACAAAGTAATGAATAACAATGACAATCCATAACAATAACTATGATGATGTTATAATTCATAATCAATTACAATTATCATTATCAACATCATTAGTAATATTACTATTATTTGTTATCATAATAACAAATATCAAATAAATATAAATAATTAAAATACTAAAACTAATAACAATGATGATGTTGATGATAAACATAAAAATGATAATTACGACATTAATGATGATGATAAAAATAATAATAATGGTAACAATAATAATAATCATAATAATGACACTTATCAATAATAACAATAATAATATCGAATAAACAAGAATAAACAAACAAACAAATAAATGATAATTATAATAGAATGTGATAATAATAATGGTAACTAAAACAATAGCAATAATAACAATGACACTACTACTACTACTACTACTACTACTACTACTACTACTACTACTACTACTACTACTACTACTAATACTAATAATAATAATAATAATAATAAATAAAAATAATAATAGTAATAATAAATAAAAATAAAAATAATAATAATAATAATAAATAATAATAATAATAGCAACAACAATAGTGACAACAATTATAATAGTATTAGTAACATTTACTGTAATAGTAATGATCATCATCATCATCATCATCATCATCATCATCATCATCATCATCATCATCATCATCATCATCATCATCATCATCATCATCATCATCATCATAATAATAATAATAATAATAATAATAATCAGAAAAATCAGTAATAATAGTAATAACAATATGACAAAAAAAATAATAAAAAACATAATGTAAACAAATAATGACAATAGTAAAAACAATACTAACCATAGTCATAAAAAAATAAATAAAAATAGCAAGAATAACAATAATAATGACCATAAAAATGATGAATATGATGTAATGATATGGATGATATAATAATTGTAATAATAATAATAAAATTAATGATAACATTAATAAGAATAAGAATAGTAATTATAACAATAAGGAGGAGGAGGAGGAGGAGGAGGAGGAGGAGGAGGAGGAGGAGGAGGAGGAGGAGGAGACGAAGGAGACAAAGGAGAGGAAGGAGATGAAGGAGAAGAAAGAGGAGGAGGAGGAGGAGGAGGAGGAGGAGGAGGAGGAGGAGGAGGAGGAGGAGGAGGAGGAGGAGGAGGAGGAGAAGGAGAAGGAGAAGGAGAAAGAAGAAGAGGAGAAAGAAGAAGAGGAGGAGGAGGAGGAAGAAGAAGAGGAGGAGGAGGAGGAGGAAGAAGAAGAAGAGGAAGAAGAAGAAGAAGAAGAGGAGGAGGAGGAGGAGGAGGAGGAGGAGGAGGAGGAGGAGGAGGAGGAGGAGGAGGAGGAGGAGGAGGAGGAGGAGAGAGGAGGAAACCTATAACACTTAAAGATGTCAAAAATCATTAAAAACAAATATGGGAAAGAATCCTTTTCAAGGATAGCTTTGGCATAATCTTTTGTCAAGATTTACCTTGGATCTAAAAATCCAAAGTATGCCAAATAAATTAACCCATTCATGCCGAGTGTCACATATACGTGACATGTCCACTGTCAGTTTACTTGTTTAATTTTTTTACACATAGATGGCAACACTAGTACTTGTACAGCCTGTCTCGCCCATTTACCCTTTTCTTTAATTTACAAAAATATTTTATGTTATCTTATTTTGCTGTTAATAATGTTTATAACATCATAGTAATTATAATGATTATAATAAAAATAACCATCGATATTCATAGCACTAGTAAAAATACATTTTCCCACCAATTCAAGTAAAGGTGAAATCAGGTAAAGCAGAGCCATCTAGTGTAGAGATATTTCACAAAAAATATAAATAATGAGAACAGCATTTTCCCCGTTTTTTATTCATTTTTACCCGGCATGAATGGGTTAACAAAACAAATAGATGGGACTTTAACACAGAACAATACTGTTCTGTGTATATGCATTTTCCCAATTATAATAGCCTTTACCGCTTGCTTAGCAACAATGACCAACAAAAAGACATCCTGCTTAGAACTGTGAACTCAAATAAAAAATAATATATATAATTTTAAAAAATATTTTGGAAAATACATGCTTTGATGAATACACATCCTTTAGACTGCATAGCTTTGAAAAGTTAAGGAGATTCCACCATATAACTCAATATATCTGAACTGAAAACCACCAAGCAGAAAGAGAGAGGCAAGAAGGTCAACTGCGTAACTACATTCTGATTCCAAATGCCAACCACCAGCGGAGATAAATGGCAAACTAATGTATATAAGTAATGAAAACAAAACAATACACAAAAGTGGAAATAATGATCTTATCATAATTATGAACCTAATATCAATAAATAACACCTTACATTTTCCTCATCTACACATCTACCTTCCCATGTTACTTAATAGTAACATCAACAAGATCAAATCTGTGAAGATTAAAAATGTGCCACATACATGATGAAAAAGATGGCACAATCTGATTACTGTAAAATATTGGAAAATAACAAGTACAGGTATTAAAGAATACCAACAAAGTCTACCATCAGTTTCAAGTGATGTGATTTTAGCCTCAAGAAAATCATACAAAAAAATGAAGTATGGAAGTGAACCATCTTCCGGACAAAATGGTAATGAATAATTAATCTGAACTTATAATAGTATTCAGTATCTGAGCACTATCAAAATGGATACTAAAAATCTTCACAGAACTAAGTAAGGCTCAATCATAGAATTAAAATACAAATCTTTCCCAATTCATTTGAAAAAACGATTCTCAGTCTTCAGTATTCCCAATACATAATTTTGCCTGTCCCCTTCAAATGATTTGCCTATGGCTGTGTAATTCAGTATGACAGAGAGCAAGTGACTGACTTTGACATTAAGTCAAAAGAAAAGAAAAGAAACAAAACTTAAGAAGTCAATGCACACATATAAAGACATGAACCTTTTGCATTAACACTTAAATAAAACTCATCCTTGTTACTTTGCCCATGTTAGAACTTACTATCTTCCATCCTGAAATGACCTGACCAGGTAGTCCTTTTTGGTCTCAATCTTGACAGAGTCTTGGGCCGTTGGAGCAACCACAAGCCCTGGGAACCAGTTGTCCTTCTGCTTTTTCTTGTCCCCGAGCTCCACACAAACAACTTTGCCAATATCTGACTCCCACTCCTCACGTCTTGAGCGATGCCTCTTGTGGACATCATCCTCCTCTTCTCCAGAATCTTCACCATCTCTGAATCAGAAAATAAAAATACAATCAAGGATATGAATATGATGTTTACAATTTCAACACTTTGGGACACCAAAAGACTAATCTACACACTAACAAAATAGGTATTACATTTTTATTATTAGTTCCTACTGTCTTTTAAAAAGGAAAAAAAAGTCATAGACCCCCACTAATTTACACAAATTTCATTAACAGCCTCATTATCTTTTTAGAAGTGTAAATATGACGTACGCGTTTGGTCTAGACCTGCGCCCTCGCCTTCCTCCAACCACAGGGGTGCCAAAGTGCTCTGGATGAGTGAGAGGCAGCTGGTCTAGGGTCTCACTCTCAGCAAAGTGCCTTCCACTCTTCAGGCACAGGGATGTTCGGCGGAGTGTTGTTATGTCACCATCATCAAAGACTGAAATTTTTGTTTTGGGAATATTGGAATGATTAAAATGAGTCATTTACAAAATATAACATATAAAATATAATATATAAAATTCAGTTCTAAACTACTCTATCCAATTCTGCCATCTATGATAAACCATTTACAATATAATTCTTCTTTCACAAAATTTCAATCATAAAATATACAATAATAATATAAAAGTAAATACTCTGACCATCAGGCCTCTAAAGCCAGCTTCTCAGTTACTCATTCACTATAAATTGCACCTCAGCAACTAACAAAACATTAAAACAAAAGCATAGAAACTCACCAACTGTATACTGACTGCAGTCTTGAATTTTGTTCACAATGGCATCTACAAATTGATTTTTATCTGGATGGCTCGCTTTGACTTGGGCACCAATTTTCAAAACACCTTTAACCAAGTCATCAGGTACAACAGCTGAGCCTAAGCCTAGTTTAAAGGTTACCTGAAATGTAAAAAAAAAAAATTAATATGAAGATTAAGAATAAAAACATACTTCCTTTGCGTATGTCATAAATATGCCAAAATATGACCAAAGACAAAAGGTGTACAAAATATTACTTACTTTAACCTTGACTGATTTGACAACCTTGTGGACCTTTGCCTCACAGAAAGCACCCTTGTACTTGGCTGACACCTCAGTACCAACGGTCAGGAAAGGCGGGTCCTCAGGCTGCAGGTAAAGAAAGGCCATGTCATAAGAGAGAATTTTCCAATAGAGGTGAAAATAGCTAACAAGTGATCACCACATGTATTTACATCCTATCTCCATATATGGTAAGCTTAGATCTATATCTTCATTGGAATGTGGTCATCTTTCCAAGTCATCAAAGGCCTATTACATGGCCATACAGTATTTGCAAATGACAAGCAACGGTAAAGAAACTGTGCAGTGTTAGGTCACCACTGGGTTGCTCAGTGCAGATGTGCATATCCTTTTTGAGGGGAAAAGCTGAACTTCAAGATTTAATTACCTGTGGTAACCACATCTCAACGAGGGTCCAAGAACATACACAACCTAATGGCTGTGCCCCTGTCTCTCAAGCTGCAAATTATTGTTTGCGAAGAAATTCGTGTTCTCCCTGCGATCGTAACAGAGCTGAAGTTCACTGTATTAAAATTGACAAAGAACCTGAATGAAAGAAGAGTTTTGATTTACAAGGGCTAAAGATGTGTTTGGTAAAAGAGAATGTAGCTGCAAAGATGGTACACTGCATTCAGTGATACCTTCTCTCTATCTCCCTCTTCTTTTTTTTCAACTAATTCTCTTTTGAATAAAAATAGAAATAAAATAAAATGTAGGCCAAGAACAATCCTGACAAAAAAATCCAATGTAAGATTCTAAGTCCTTCTTTGAACTGTACATGCAGAATCAAAACAATCAAAGACAATACTTGTATAGGAATTTTGAACTTGACAACAAACTTGGGATTTACTAGCTTTAATTTTTGACTGTAAGAGAATGTAAATAAACAATACTTCTTACATGAAAAAATAGAATATATGCATTCAGACCCTGCGAAACAGGTCTTGCGTGTGAGAAATGACATCTACACTTCATGTATAAATTTCAAGCAGGAGCTGACACTGATTGGTATGTGTACAACTAGTCATCCTCAACACTAACCTTCTTTTTATGTGGCTGTACAACTGCTCCTTCAGGAATATCCATCCTCTGGAATAGTAAATCAAATGTCAGTTTAATCACTCATAATGAAAAAATCAAAATGAGGAGGTAAGTAAAATTTCCACATTTTTATTATGTCAAATCATTTCATAAGCTAACTGTTGAATACTTAATCTATTTTACTTCGGAGACTGGCAAGAGTTAGGCATTGCCCACACCCTTTTAAATAGTCAAATTATTTTTTACTATCATAATTATAAATCTTTTCTAAATAAAATTATGGTCTTCACTAGGCATTGAGAGAATTCTTCATTACTTCTCAAAACAATACTGCATAATCAAAAAAGACAAAAAATGTCTGCAACATGTAACACTTGTAGAATATATAAAATATTCATTCAAAGACCATATTCTGTGTATCTATCCTATATCAACTCATAAAAACAAGAAAGAGAGACCCTTTAATTGTTGCCAGAAGTAAAATGCAATCTCATTTCTATCTTACTATTCTTGCTAACATTTATCTTTAGCAGCCTACATTTAATAACAGCTGCCTCTGACAACACTCACTATGCAGTTTACAACCTACAAAGGCAAAAAGACCTGAGTTACAGTACTATCAAATAGATTCGTAAACATAAAGAGCTAATTTACGCAATTAGTACAAATTTTTTAACTTCTTGTCACAAATTAACCTAATCAATTGCAAAAGCAAGAAGGTTTGAGCTGTCATACCGCTGACTGAAAGACTAGAGCCTCACAGGTACTCTTGACAACTTCATAACTTTAACAGCTTGAATATGGGTACATCAGAATGTAATATATATATCATACTTAATCTCACTTTACTTATCCTTCCTCCACTAGGAGTTTCAGTTAGAATTATTCTTTTAGTACTGATAAAAGGATAGGTTTTGAATACCCTATAAGATTAATACTTATAGGGTATATATCCTGAATTATCCTTTCTACAGTATATTATATGAGATAAATTATGAAAACATTCATAAATAAACCACTGAGATACACACCAACTGCCATGGCCTCTGTGTCTGTCAGTGCTCCACATAAGGCTTACAAACTACTGACAAGGCAGAACTTGTAATTTATCTTCAAAGTTCCCAAGTCCTATCATTGTCACAACAGGAACATAGATGGGCTGACTTTTTTGGCATTAACAGGAGTATGCAGCACATATGCTGCCGAGATTGCATGGCGCTACAAAACTATCATATTTGACTGAAGACTGAAGGCCCCATAACAGATCATAGTTCATAGCAAGTTTCAAGTCAATCTGGAGAAAACATAATCAATGTAATACGAAAAACAGTATATTCTCACTGCCCTAATGATAACTTAACCACATATACCCAACATACTTCCATTGACTGCACTCAACCCAGTAAGTTAGAATATGATTACTACTCATTTCAAAGTAATTTACTAGAATAATGTTTTTGGGCCTACAGCAGATGATTACAGATAAATCCCATTAACTTTGTAATAATAAGCTAAATCACATTCACTTTACCTACCAAAATATCCCATCCCATGACTTAGCCCACAGCTTCCTAAATAACTTACGAATCACTATTTAAAATCACTGGTACTCACCTAGTCTACTGTGAAGTAGTTCCCTACTTTTGCTATATATAATCACAACCTAACTACTATGCCAACATATAGTGTTTGCTAAAGAACGAGTTTTGAAAAGCGAAAATGACCGTTTCGGGTAGCCATGGGGCGCGTGCAATGCCGTGATCAAGAGCCTGCAACGAGCCACCCTAAGCGACCTCAAAGGGTGAGGAAATTCGCCCTTAACAAGTGAGGGAAAATGAAGTTCGTTTCTGCAAAAGGGTGAAGGAGGGAGAGGACACTCACTGGTCTAGTTTGCCACGAGCTTTCCATTCTTGGTGTCCGGATGATCCCGAAATGAATACCCTCGTAGTGAGTGCTTTCCATGAGAAACCCTCCACAGACTTTTGATTTTAACTCTAAAATTCTCGACCGATTCCCCACTAAACTAAACTTGGGAGAATTTCTTGCCTCCCAACCTCGGTTCGGTTTTTCGGCGTATTCCGAGATTTTTCCTCGCCCGCCGTTATAATTTCCGATCGAGCGACACTTCACGACTTACCTGCATCATAAATGCAGAACTAATTCAGAGAAGAGAGCACGTAAATAGTCAAAAATTCCCGACCGCCATCGTGCACTCTGCTCTCCTCA